GGGGGGGGTCGAACGACCCTTTCACTGGGGTCGCCTGATTCATAACAGTAGCAAAACGACAGTTATGAAGTAGCAGCAACAATAATGTTATGGTTGAGGGGTCACCACAACCTGAGGAACTGTATGAAAGGGTTGTGGCATTAGGAGGTTGAGAACCACTGCCCTAGCCGGAGTTGTAGACTTAGTAAATCCAGGTGGTGAGAAAGTCAACTGTGATGAACACAGTTCTTAAATGGATTCATTGGTTCATCCCACTGCCATATCAGTAATTCTTCGTGCCTTAGATTTTTCTCACAAAGGAAGATAAAAACATTCTCACAGAATGTTTTCCTTCTCTCGTAACACTGAGATTCATGGATAAGATGCTGGAAGAGCTCGGAAAGCCTGTAGTTTGGGTACCTAGTTATGCTGCTGCAGCATCTCATCATCATGGAAATCCTTAGAGGAAGACCATCCTGATGACAGATGGAGGAAAGAAAAATGTTAGCTCGATAGTGAATTCTTTATGTGGATCTTTGAACACGCACTAATAAACCTCTTCACAGTAATCTTTAATTAATGTACATAATCTACTGTAAGGAACTCCCCTGGTGCCGTGGGTCAGGCACTGGGCCGCTAACCTCAAGGCTGGCTATTTAAACCCACCAGCTGCTCTGCAGAGACAGATGAGGCTGTCTGGTCTCATAAAGATTTACAGGCTCAGAAACCCTATATGTGGGCGTTACGAGTTGGAATCAACTTGATGGTAGTGGGTTTGGGGATTTTACTTTAGGCAAGTGTCAGTCTTGACCATACAATTTAATGTACTACTTCCATCAGAAATTCCTGATATATTATGAAACAAGGAAAAAGTAAAAATAACTTTAAAAGCAGACAAAGGATTAAAAAAACAAAACTGTGATTCTTTCATGTATGATTTAAAAATCCTTTCATTGTGTCGGAGAGTGTCAAATACAGCACAATAAATAATGCTTATAGTATTTATACTGACAGTAATGTTTTAATGTGATGCATTTGAAAGGTTTTTAAGAAATGGCTCACCTCTAATGATTATAATTTAAAATCCACAATTATAGAATACTTAATTATTGCCCAGATGTAATAAACGAGGATTTTCTTTCAAGTGTTGGCATATGCTTTTATTTTGTAATGTCAGTGTTCGCTCAGAAAATATAATACAATTTTGTTTTCAAACTCAGTAGTTTTTACTTTAAGACAGTTTGAACTTTTCTTATAGGGCTTCTCTGCTGGGCTGTTTGCATTCTACCACGACAAAGATGGGAATCCTCTAACTTCAAGATTTGCAGATGGTCTCCCATCTTTTAATCATAGGTATTTGTTATTCTTTCTCCTATTCTTTTAGATTAGAAGGATGCTAAGGCTAGAGTATGAAAATCATAGCACTTTATATTCAGTTAGAACCAGGGGGCTTAGTGGCTTTCATAAGGAAATAATAAGTAGTAAAATAAGACACACCAGGCTATGTAGCTTCGTCCTTTCATTTTATGATAGAGATATTGAGATTAAGAAAGCTTAAGTTCAAAAAGCCAGAATTTTTCTTGTCAGGCAGGGCTTTTTTCCACTACTTT